AATAATTTTTATATATATAATTTTTTTAATGCTTATTAACCAATTGATAAGTTATACATCTCACTTAATAATTTGTATCTAAAGTGCATTAACTGCAATTTGAGGCAAATATTAGTTTAAGGCACAATATATATTTGTTTTTATTTATCAATTTTTTTATTTATAATTTTTTTTTTACTTCTTTATAAGAAAGTGTCATCAAATTATTTCTATTTTATTATAAAGTAGTGATTTTAACAAAATTAGTAAAAACAGAGTGTGGCAACTTAGTGAAGTGGTGAAGTTGTCACACGCTCAAGTGGCAGAATCAGAGTTTGAATTCTATTAATAGCAAAAATTCAAATTCCAGAATATGTTACAGCAGAATGTGAGTGTAATCAGACAGTTTAGTATCTGCAATCTGATCATACTAGTTGTACTGGAAGGCTGTAGAACGTAGTGTAATACATGAGTTATACAAAACCCAAGTAAAACAGCTATATAAATCTAAAGTCAACGCATACAGAAGCCCACTTGGCAAGACCCGAATAGAGAGGTAATACAGATCTTCGATGGTATTACATAAAGGATTATTAACCAGAAAACTAGAAAACTGAATAGGACCAAAGTGCTTGACAAAGCACTTTATCAACCTGGCTACTAGAGAGTAATTAGAGGAAAAGAACCCAATTGTGAGGACCAAAGACAGGTCACAGCCCTTTTGAGCCATCTGGATTGGAAGTTTGAGATAATAGGTGTATGGAGGATAATCTATATAGTGGGTGCTGGGGTTTGGATGAACTCTATAAGAGCAATAGTAGATAACTGTAACAGCCTTAGCTCACAAGTATTTGTTCTCAAATTCGGTGTAAGTATCAAAGAAGACTAGGTAATATGATAATAGTGGATATTGAACTGCTCTAGCAGGTGATGCACTCGAGAATGAATCAGTTAATTATGTCAGTAGTTCTATAGATAGATATGTGATAATCTTGGAATTTGGACTAACTTATGTATTGTATATTCCAAGTGAGATTAGATGAATTGGTATAGGAAACTCAGATCAGAGGGTTTAATTAGGTAACTCAAGTAATAGTGAGTTATAGGTATAGCATTTAGTGTAGAACCTAGTAATAGATAGATACTTAATTAGGCACTCAAAAGATGCAGGCATGGTTAGAATGTACCCTTGTCAGAATATACTTGTCTGAGGCCTCTTTAAAAAAAGCACCACATAATTCTATAATTTAATAAAAGCAGAAAACCAAAGAGGCTAATCTTGACTACAAAAAATTAGTAAAACTGTTTATTGATATTAAGACTTATATCTTTAAAAGGTTAAAAATTTTAAAAGAAAAAAATGTTTATTTAGGCAAATTACTTCTAAGTTATACTTTAATATAAAATTTAAATTTAATTTTTTTTATTACAATAATAAAATAAATTAAGAAAATCTTTATTTGTATAAAAATATAATAGTTAATAGGTTTGTATATAGGTTAACTAAAATATATTTATAAATTACTTCTAATTAATAAAATAAAATTAGAATCATTGAAGTAAAAAAAAAATAAAGTAGACATAAAAATACTCTTGTTTTATACAAACAAACTTGTTATTAATAAAGCTTATATATATGAAATGTTAAAAAGCAAACATATAATAATAAGTAGGTTTATATTATAGGTCAAGTTTCTTTTTAATATAAATTATTGTTAATGAAATTTTTAAATATAATATACTAAGATGTAGACATTATAAATAGTTTGTATAGAGATTAAGCTTTGGTTTCTTCTTTGCTTAAAGTAAACTCTATATGTTTGGTATTTAAACTAAAGGAATCTTTAAAAATAGCAAGTAGAAAAGAAAATAAACTTTCTTGTACTTTCAGTAATCAAGTTAAAAAAATATTTTGAAAATAATATCAATAATAATTTCTGGACAAAAATATCAAGTAGAAATTGAAGAACTAAGCTATATAACTATAAAATTTACAAGAAGAACCTCATATATTCTCATTGAACTATCACTTTTTTTCAAAAAGATTTTTGTAAAAAGTAGATGTTTTAGTTTACCTTTTTCAAAAAATTCCCCAAAATAGTTAGCATTGTTTATTTTTTAAAGAAGTATAACAGGACAACAAATATATTAAGACATATACCTTGAATGATCAAACAATGCTCTGAGACTACTATCGATTACCAACCTTCCTATGATCTCCGGTCAATGAAGTTTTTTCTATTAGTTTTTAACATTTATATACTATTTAGATAAATTTAGAATAGAAACTAATTTGTTTAATAGTATGTAATTTTTTTAAGCCTTTCACAAGCTTATAAATGTGACGTTAGAATAAACAATTTTATTTTTCTTTTTGTTTTCGATATTTCTTGCTTTTTTTTTGCTTGTATATTTGCACGTATGAATTCTGTGCCAGGTTTGTAATACAGAAATAGCAATACTCAAAAAATATTGGTTAGAATAGATTAAGTTAAAAAAATATTTATCGTTATATATAAATTTACTTTTATAAAATATTAACGATTCTTGATTTTTTTCTTATTAAACCTATAGTTATATAGTTAATTTTGATTTAATTCACTAATTAAATTGGTCAATATATATTTACAATATTATACTTATATATATATATTTATTGTGTGTTATATTATTGTAACTTCAACTTATATACAGTACCTTGATCTGCGAAAATTTTTGAAAAATTCGTTTTCACTAATTCACAATACAGTAATTGGCCAGATTATTTAACTAATTTGAGCGGCTTGACTAATTAGACCAGAAGCTCTTTTATCATTAACCGGCAAATTTTAGCCGACTAAGTGTTTGACCAATCCTGATAAAAGGTTTCAGAATTCTAAAAACTGATGCGATATTTTCGGAGAAAATCTTTCTATTTCAGGCTAGACTTTTACATTTGATTTCTAAGCATAAATTAAATCGTAGACGACTTGTTTCTAGAGATGCGTATTTTACCTTTTATGTATCAGTACTTGAAATGTACTAGATGAATGCTTTACATCACATAGCAATTAACGTTAGCTCGTTTCATAGCATCAGATATTACTGATAATTACACCACGAATATTGTCAGTTGGGTCGCGTTGTTAATCGTTTTTTACTTGAATGCCGTGTTATCCTTTTTTCAAATTGTAGTTGATTGGCTAAATAAGAACTCATTATTAAAAAAAAAACTTTATAAATATACGTACGTACGTATACGTACGGTGGATAACAAACGGAATTTGACACATGAAAATTTTTTTTAGTTGAAACATTCTGATCATAATAATGAAACAATTCTGTTGATTTAGTCATTTCTGATCGCAATAATGAAACATAAATCTATTTATTAAGTCATTTCTGTGAATATTAACAAGCTATAAGCTGGTTTGGTAGGAATTTAGATTTTTTTATTATTATATTCTTATATTCATTTATCATTGATATTATGCTCAAATGTGTCAATTCAAGGATTAAATAATATTTAAATTCATGGAAAAGAAGATCAGAACGTACAATTGTGTGAAGATCTTGAACAGATATCACTAAAAACTGAATGTTATAAACAATTACATAAGTTATGTTGCATTGCAGTTGTATTATTATTTGTCTTATTGATGCTTGCTGGAGCGATAGCTAGGGTTGTTAATGGAGTACTCCAGACTATAATAAAACATATAACCCGCTTCTGGAGTGCTCCGGAGTGGGTTATATGTTTTATTATTAACTGGAGCACTCCATTAACAACCCTAGCGATAGCATTAATATATAAAGTTTTCAGTAAATGGGTACTTATTACAGTAATGAGTAAGACGAACGCAATTTGTCAGGTGCGTGCCTTACTTAATGCTTACCGAAAATCACCGATTGTTTCCTAAAAAAAAATCCTGGTGAATTACCTGGTGAATTACCTGGTGAATCGAGATTCCACATAAACAATTATGCGATTGTACTTGAAGCACGAGGTTAATTTTTTTCTTGTAAAAAAAAACGCGTGAATATTCCTTTTTTGGCTCGATACCATTATGAGTAGTTTTATTCGGTATTTTATTACGGGTTTCCACAATACTTAAATCTTGATCTGCAACGGTGATGACATGAAATGTAAAGATGCTCGGAGACATGTTTATGACAAAAAAAAAGGATGCCATTCATATCTTTAAGACACTCGAAAACGCGAAAAAATGCTAGTCAAGAATCTTTATAGCTCAATTGTGCATATATAATGATAACACGAAATATTATTGAGAATATTTTAGAGTTAAACTTGAGTTTGCGTAAAAATAAGATTAAACGCGCGATACGTCATCTTTTTCACATGGATATCTTCCACATCAGATTAAATAAGCGCAGTTGCAGAAAAATTTTCCTTTCTCGCACATATCTTTGTCTTGTTGTTTGTTCCACAAACAAAATTTCCAATTTTATTTGTTTATTCTTGATCCCTTTTTTTTTTTTTTTTTTTTTTTTTTTTACCTATATATATAAAATCTTTTTTTAAAATTTTTTAAATTGTAAATGCTTGATTCTAAAGTTTTTCTTATTTTTTCTATTTGGTTTTAAAAGATTCGTGATGAATTCAACAACACAAAGACAAAACACGATCCTGCCAGAAAATAACACCATTGTTCTCTTTCAAACATTACCCAAAGGATCTTTCTGTCAATCTTATACGGTGAACGTTGGTGGCACAGCTTTCCAATTCTCAGAATTCAGGTACACAAAGATGATTATTTCGCGTATTACCTATCTAAAAATATTACCAACTGATCCATTATTATTAATCTGAAAGCCTTAAGAGAGATTCTCCAAATTTATTTACTGAATATTTTTTTGGGGAAAATGAATCAAGAAAGGGAACATCGTTTACCATGTGCATAGATCGAGATCCTCAGATCTTCACGATCATCGCAAGGTATCTTAGAGGCTACACTATCTTTCCACTATCCCCGACAAATCTTCCATGTGGAATGTCCTTTGAATTGTTTCGTCAAAATCTTATGGCCGATATTCACTTTTACAAACTTCCAGCTCTAAAGAAACAAACATTACCTATCTGCGCCTTTTTCAAAAGTCCCTTTAATGAAGATTGGCGGTTAGATATTACTTTAAGTTTGGTAAAACCGAAAGATCTAACCCTCGATAAAGAAATAGTTCTATCAATACACAGAGATGGATATTCAATCGTTCAATTTCATGCGACTGATGTTCTTTGGGATTTGGTTTCACCACAACAATCATACTTTCAGTTTACACAACAAGCTGATATATACACCCTACGTCAAATTTCTAAAACATTTCGACCAATGTATGATGATAATTCTTTATTCTATGGATGCGAAACTGGTCCATCTTTATATAATATTGACGATGTTGATATGCCAGGAAAGGATGTATATCATAATATCTTTAACAAAAGTAGAGAATTGGTTAAACCAATGGTGGGAAAGTGTGTTCGTGTTTACTTGACAAGAGCCATTTTTTCCTTGAGGATTCCTGATGTTCCGGTATATGGTGTAATGAACATTATACCTATGTGGGGTAGTGGGAATACTCAACTTTATCACTTATCACGAACTGGTGGATTATACTTTAATTAATTGATCATTAATATTGGTTATAATTGAAATATTTAGTGGCATTTATTTTTTTGATTATTTCAAAAAAAATATTCTTTAATGATTTCCGTAGCTCATTGCTTTTTACTAATTATTTTGACTCTTTTGTTTAATGATTTCAATGGAAATGATATGTTCTCTAAATAAAAATCTTAAATGATAAGAGTGCCTTTGATAAGAGTGTAGTAGCTTTAAAAAGATTGGAACTTTGTTCGCTATAAAAGGAATTTCCTTAATAATCGATTTTAATGTCGAACAAATAAAAAACGCGCCAAATAAACTTTTATAGAACACCATATGACACAATCTGAATCGGTGAATCAACGCGTAAATTTCAGGTAGTAAATTCCATTGCTAGAATTCATAATTCATATTATGAAAATTTCGAACTTTATAAATATTTTTATGTTAAAATAGAAGATCATTTACAATCAAACCTCGATATAATCACCGGCTTGGGAAACAAGAATCTGGTGATTATAAAAAGTCGTGACTATATGAAAGTTAAATTTTGTTTTATAATACGATTATATCAAGGATGTGACTATATCAAGAATATCAAGAGTGACTATAACGAGGTATTTGAAAAAAATAAATTTGAATGAAAAGAGAAGGGATGTTATCCTGCTTCGTGTAACATGAAATAACTTGTTAAAAATAGATTAGATTAATTTCTTGTATATACTAAGTAACTTTAGTCGAAAGGATATTAATAACAAGTTTGATTAGTGGCAAAGAATTAAAGAATCATACTCGAACGAATAATTACTTTCCGAGCAGTTTTAAGCAAGCCAATTTCATAAACAGAGTTTCTAAGCATTATAATGATAATATCTATTTCATATTGAGCTAAATTGCTGACAAAAGGATGTTCCTAAAAGCGTTGTTAATGAATTTTAATTAGTCACATATCGAAAAATAATCATAGTAATAATGAGCAAACCTCATTAAGCAGATTTGAACATTTTAAGCAGGATAGCATCCCTAAAAAAGAACGTGTTTTTAATATTTGATTATATTGCATAGACGTTGCATGTGTATGGTAATTTATTTGCCACGTAAATATAAAAATGTAAATATTATGTAATAACAAGATATATTACTGTATATATGTACCATTTTTTTCGAATGACATCATCGTGTCGCATATATATGTTGTCTGCAATACAAAGTACAAATTACACATCTCTCCTGAAATTCATATTTTCATTTTTGCACCCTTTCAAACAACAAAACAATGCGACTAAATGGCTATAGTGTAGAAATAATAATGGACGGAAAGCCTCTTCAAGAGTGTGAAGTCCTTTTAGATGAATGTACAGTAAGTATAAACAACTTAAAAAATTATTTTTCTTGTTTTTTTTTAATTATTCTTTGATACGCGTACTATATCGAAAATAGTCTCTGGCTGCTCAACCTTCTTGCATACTCGACGAGTCAACAGGAGAATACAGATACTGGTAAAGTTGCAAACTATTTGATTACAAGACTTTGTCATATTTATTAATGTTTACTTTATTCGTTGTTTTTATATTTTTTATGACACGTAAAAATAGCGAATACATTACGTTTGCTTCAGTTCTTGAACTTGATAAAAATTATTCGGTAACAATGTCCACCAACCATGCTACATTCCAATCACCTATTAGAGCTGACCTATATGTAGACGGAATAACCGACTTTACGTGTCACGAACTTATTGACTCTTCTCGAATTGTAAACGATGGATTTTGGAATCACCAATGGAATAAAATACATAATTTTTCATTCGACTTCACTTCTTTATCAAGCATTAAACCTTCCAAACCAATTGATCAATCCTCAGCCTTTAATGTTCTTAATGGACAGTTCGATAATGCAACCTCTAATCTCAAGCCTGGAGGTGTTGGGACCATCTCTGTTTATTTCTATAAAGCTAAAAGGAACTTCATAAATTTTCATAGTGTTTTTGAAGATAGGCCAAAATCATTTTTAAGTGACCAAGAAATTTTATTGAAATCAACTGAGCAGCTAGGTGGTATTCAATATCAAACAAAATTTAATGAAGGATTAGATTTTGAAATAGCAAAACCTAGCTATAGCCTTCAAATCGTTGATGAAAGGCCAATCGCTATTTTGAATATTCATTATAGACCTTATTCTTGGTTACTTTATCAAGGAATCTTAAAGTATCAACATCATGATTATTTCTATGATTTTTATGAAGTTAGATCTGATGGTGAGGAACAGGACATGAGTGTAGAGATGATAATTGATTAGGGAATGATCAATTATTTGATTTGTTTGATTGTGACTTGTCTTTATTCGTTTTAATGCTAATTTCATAATACGTTTGCTTAAAGTTTGCTCCTGGAACTTGAAATTAGATCTTGTGGTGTTACGCAATTTTTTACAGTAAAATTCATTACTATATTTTTCTTCAGTAATTTTTTGATTATTAGTCGTACAATTATTATTTTGCAATAATTTTTAAATCTTATAGTTAAAAATTATTGCTTAATTTGAGCGTAATATTATTCTTTTCTTTAGCGTCAGCAAACATTCTATATAAAGAACTGCTTGTTGCAAATAAAATCTTAAGACAGTTTACCATCTAATGATTGCGATTCAAGCTAAACCTGGCAATAAAAGTCACCAAACTTTTCCGAAGACGTAACAACAAGCAACTTCTAATTTTCATAACGACAATAACAAGCAGTGCTCGGCTGATTTTAGGTAATGATAAGACTTTTACTAAAACGCACATATGGTGTTTTACACTTATGAATACATTATATTTAAAAACTAGCTAATTAATCGTGCAGTATACCCGATTGACTCAACAAAAAAAAAAACAAAAAACATTGCTCGATGATTGTCCAAAAAAAAAAAAAACTTGCTTAATCAATCAAAAATCAATTAGGTATGTAAACTTGATCGAGTATGATCGATCGGGCATATAATTTATAAGCTCGATTTTTTATAAAGTAAAATAATTATTTGTTCTATGAAAATTTTTTGATCAACCATCTGATCGATCAAATATAATTGATCGAGTCTACAAGATCTCGATCAATAATCGATCATGATATAGTCGAGTCAATTCACTACTCCAAAATCCTTTCCAAACCCCATTTCTAACCCTGAATATTAACATAAAAGAATTTGCATTAAAAGTTTTACGTATATATAAAACTTATAAAAACTTAACGTTAAATAACAAAAACATATGGTAGGTGCCAAACTACTATAGGTGCATTTTATAATAAAAATGTGATGGCTGAAAATTTAATAAGGTTAAGGGTCAGCTTTATGGGTAGAATTTATAATAAACAAGTATAAGTGGGCTTTAGTGGATTAACTAATTTTCCCCACTTCTACTACTTCTACTACTTCTGATTGGTTCTACTAATTACAGTCAACTCTCTCTAAGTGCAATACGACGGGACCATATATAAAAATGTTGCCAAACGTGCACTTAAGAGATATTGCATTTAGAGAGCTAAAAATCTATAGGTGTAATATTAGTTGGGACCAAAAGAAGGCGTGCATTTACATAGGACGTGCACTTAGAGGGAGTTGACTGTATTCACATATCGGAGTATCCATGTTATTAATCATTTTATGATACTCCGATAGTGAAGTAGTGGGGAAAATTAGTAAACCCGGTTTTAGTAGGTTGTATGGATCTAAATTGAGACCTCCAAATTTTCAGCTTCAGTCAATTTTAGCATCATCCCCAACAATAAATGAAATGCTTTGTAATTATCTAAGCAATGATAAATAAGAATCATTCCGTTTGCTCTGATCATGATCGATCAAAAAAATTTTCACCAATCACCATTTCCATATGAATGATCTGAAAGGTTTTGAAAATGATCAATTGAAAGAAAAGAGCGATGATGTTATTTTATCAATATTAAGTGAAAACAAACGAAGAGAGCGATGATGATATATTTTATCAATTGAAATAAAAGATGATGTCATGTAAAACAAAAGAAGAGAGTGACGTTTTATCTAAATTTAAAAGTGATTTATTTAACATGAATCAAGATGAATACGTTGGTAAATGTTGGACTAGTGAGATAAAAAGATTTGTAGAAATAGTGAATTTGACTAGGTTTGGTAAAAAAAAAAAAAAAAAAAAACTGAATTGTACTCAAGAACACTGAGGTGAAATGTATGTTTTATTTTAGGAAATCAAGATAGAAAATTTCTAAACCAATCACTAATAAACTTGGGTATTTTTTTAGATTTACAATATTGGTCATGTATCTGAAATTTGCTTTGCATTTGACTAAACAATCTTATATATTCATCGTAACGGTAACAAGTAATTATTGGTTGGCTGTGTTTGATTCGTGGCTGTTGCAATAATTTCGTCATATTCAAGAAGTAAAAGCCACCATACATGTTTAAAAAATGTAAAAGAAAGATACACATAACGCTGAATCAAGAGCACGTGAAAACACAAGAGTGTATGGTGGTCTTTTATATTGATTTTTGATTTTGTACATACAAAAATATTATTGATTAATCAAATTGTATCGATTAAACCAAATTTACTGTATGTTACCGAATAAAAACAATAAAAATGCTGCAAACAAAAATAAGTATTTTTTCGAGCCAATGTGAAGAGGTTGCTTATATTCAAGTCTAAAGATGCCATTGAAATGGTGAAATAATCACCACTGTCGGTGAAAGTAGTGTTGAATTGATGAAATTTGGTGAAATAATCACCACTGTCGGTGAAATTAGTGTTGAATTGATGAAATTTGGTGAAATTAATTTCACAGCATCTCTATTAGGTCCAATTTATTAGTAGAACGTGTCAAAATCCGGTTCCGAAATCTGGAAGGTTGCTTTTATTCGGTGGTTGCATCTGGTTAGTGAACATACATACGATAATCGACTTTGAGCATTGTTTTTATTGGTCAATGAACAAGATTTCAGATTGGTTAAAAAGATTAAATTCATACTCTCTTTTATGATACGCTCTTGGGATCGGAGGCAAGTATGCATTTAGAGAAGGTGAATGATTCAAGTATGCATTTAGAGAAAGTGATTAGTCATGGAAGATTCAAGTATACATTTAGAGAAGGTGATTAGTCATGGAAGATTCAAGTATACATTTAGAGAAGGCGATTAGTCATGGAAGATTCAAGTAGTCAATCAAAAGCGAGAAAAATATACGCGTGATTAACTCAAAGTAAGGTGTGGATTTAAAAAGGGCCAAATATCATGTGCGTGCATTTACGAAGAATACATATATATGCCAGGGTTTTAGAAACTTATGCACTTGCGGAAAATAGAGATATGCATATATATATATATATATAGTATAGTAACAAGTTTTAAGCTTAAAACTAAGCTTAAGTATACATTTACAAAAAAATAAAATCAAAATTTAAAACTTGTTCATTTAAATTTTACAATCAAATCAAATTATTTTTTAAGAAACTTAAATTTAAAATATATTTAATTTGGTTGGTTTATAAAACTTTGTATTATAAAAAGATTGAATATTATAACAATCGAGTGTTGTGGTCAAAATGGTCAAATTGGTCAAGTCTATTACAGTATATATATAAATATAATATATAACATATAATTTGACCAATAAAATTCTTGGACCGAACTGGTCAAATTGGTCAAATTGGTCAGGTCAAACCAACACTGACAACAATGTATAAGTTGTAATAAATTGCAATATTTCGTAATCATAATTTTACTAAAAAGTATTGCCATTCGTTTGTTTATAGATATGTTTACACAGTTGTTAGGCGAAACCTAGTTTCGACTTTTGCCAAAAAATAAAAATAAAAAGACGAAACGGCGAAACTGGTGAAACCTGGTGAAACTGGCGAAACCTGGTGAAACTGGTGAAATCTAGCGAAACTAGTGAAAGATGGCAAAATTAATAAAATTGGTAAGATTCAAAATTAATTAAAACAATTAAAACTCTTTTTTATATAATAATAAATCATTTTGTTTTTATTTTGTCTATCTTTAAATTGTTATATTAAAAATTATAAGCTTATATATCAAAAATCATACAAATTAAAATCATATACTTAATATTTTGCATTACTATATTTATTGTATGATGTATATTTTTTATAAGCAGAATTTTTAATAATTATTTTATAAAATATTATATAAGTAAAAAAATTAATAATAAAATAAAAAAAACAAGTATTAAGAGATAAATTATAATTAATAAATTCAACAAAAAAACCAGTTAAAGTTTTAATCAAAAATAAAAAATAAATGTCGGGGATGATGCTGAAATCGGATGATGCTGAAATTCACCGTATAAACAAACCTAAAGTGCTTATAGAACCCTAGCATCACCAACTAAAAAATTTCACTGTTAATGTTAGGGTTA